CCGCGTCGTATTCTTTCTGGTCTGGGTCGTGTGCAAGGCAGCAGAAGAGCGCAAACAGGCCGGTCTCCACGCAGTTGCTGAAGGTTTCCTTCAGAAACTCGGTTTGGCCTCTCTTGCAGGCATGCACACTTGTGTACGCTGGCAGCATGTTTGGGCTGACGAACGGGAACGTCTGTAGAATCTTCATTTTTGTCTGAATCTGCACAAGCTGGCGCAGAAGCTCGTCTTCCTCGGCCTCGGCCTTACTCTCCACAAAGCACGCGCTGTATACGTCTTTGCAGCTGTCTTCTGGCAGGCTTGTGAGGATGGCGTGCACGCACGCTGCGAAGTCCAGGGCGTCGTCCTTGCTCTTTATGTACTCAAAGACATATGCCTGGATGAGGAACTGCGGCGTGTTTAGAAAGTCGCCGGTGCTGAAGTCGCTTTGCATGCACGGAAGTTTTTCTTTTTGCATGTTGTCTTTGAAGAAGTTTATGACCTGGGCAGCCTTTTTGTACAAGTCTTTTTTTGTTTTAAACACTGTGCTGCTTTTCTCTGCCACAGTTTTTCTGTGCTCTGGCGGCAAGTTGCCAAGAATGCTTGTTCCCAGCGCTATTTCTTTCTGTGTGGCCTCAATGGGCACGTCCACGCCCTCGCTCAGCAGGAGGAGCGCAGCCAGCACGTAGTGCACATGCTGTTTGCTGGGCATTCTCTGCAGAGCCTGGAAGAAGGAGTCCTCTCGGGCGACAGCGACCGACAGGGTGTGCCCGTCCACAGACGGAAACATCTCGATGAGCGCGCGGTGGTACGTCACAGTGTAGTTTTTGTCGGCAGGCTTGGAGCTCAGAGCGGGTCCCTCCGCGGGCGGGTAGGGCTTGTCCTTCTGCGCGTTTCTTGTGTATTTGTGCTTCCGTGTGGTTTCAACATCCCCAACGGGCTCCACTTTGTAGTCAGTTTCTATTTCAGGCGAAAAGAAGCGCTTGTTGTGTGTGTAGCCTAGCTCGGAGTAGACGAACCCGCGCAGCAGGCAGAGCGGCCCTCTTGGGTTGATGAAGGCGTTAATATTTCTTATTTCAGTGCTTTGCATCTCTATGGCCTCGCCCAACGACACTCGCGCGTGCGCGCAGTGTGCCAGCGCTGCAAGCATAAGTGCATAAAATTTTACGTTCATGATCAGGGATAAAAAACGGTTTTATATATATATTGCAGATGGACCTATAGGGCGGGCTGGCCTATCAGAAGAAGACGTGCGCAGCACAGGGGCTGCATGCAACTGGCCAATTGGTCATCAAAATGATGGTGTGACAACTGCACAGCTGTCTCTGCAAAGTGTGCGTCTGCATAAAGAAAGCCGGAGTGCTGTCTGGCCTTGTGTGTGCAGAGCCAGAAAGGCTGGCAGTGTAGTCGCCTTTGTTTTTTGCTTAATTTCCTGTGTGAGCGCTGCTTCCAGCGCGCGGAGAGAATGGTTTGGCGCACTAAACAGCTTTCTGCGGCGCGGCTGTTTCCAGCCTGCAAAGGGCCCGAAATACGTCTTTTGCAAGATTTGCAGAAATAAACATAAAAAACAAAGGACACTTCTAGAGCTTCCTCCCTTTGAAAGTTTCTTTTCGAAATTTGCAAATAAAACAAAAATCCTCGATCTGGCATCCTATATTCTGTTTCCTCGCAAACAGCCTGTCTTCATTCTCTACCTGTGCGTGATTTCTTCAAGTCCTCTGCCGCCATCCGCAGAGGTGCTTTCTGCGTTCTGTTATTCTTGCGCGGGTGTGTGGGTGCGGAAACCAAACAGTCCGGCCGGCGGCGCTTGTTGAGAGCGGGTGCTTTCTTTCCTCTTCTGTGTGCAGAGAAACAGACAGGCAGCCTTGTTTTTTATTTTTGAGGGCGGACAAAGAGAGAAGGAGCACGCAGGAGAAGGCAGCGAGGGCGCGCGCTTACAATGTTGTTAAGGGGTGCGAGCAAAGATGCAAACACACGTGCACGGGCAGTTGAGACCCGGGCATTCAAAGGTCGCAACGCCTTACTGGAGCTCGTCTGGCATGCGATAATAGCCCGAGACAAAAAGAAGTCGGGTAGAATAAAGTTTTTGGTGGGCAGCCAAAGAAGCAGAAAGCAAAGAATGCCCGGAGGCGCCTAAAAGCATTCTTCCGACACGGTGCAAACACAAAACCGGCGGTGCAGAGAACATGATGCGAATAACACATGGATTGCCACAGTCAACAGCTGGGTGTGTTTTGCAAGGACTATCTGTGGTCGCACGGGCAGGGCGCATATCCTTGCTCTCTTTCCTGTCTGCTTTCCCTGCTTGGGCGATTGCTTCTGTTTGAGGCGTGTGGAGAAGCCTAGGCATAGCAGGCATGCGGGCTGTTTCTCTTCTGCGTGTGCGAGGAGCGCGCGGCCTTTGCCTGCAGGCTTCCCGTGCTGCGTGGGAAGAAAGGAGTATGCACTTTGTTTTTTTGCTTCTCTGCAAAAACAGCACAGACCCATCATTTTGATGTGCTCTGGTAATATATAAGCGCGCGCACTTTTGCTTGGATGGGATTTGTGCACACGCTTCGAACAAGATGGAAAGGTCACGTGCTGGCGGGTTTGGTGTGTGCTGCAAGTGGGGGCTTGCTTGCATACAGGGAGGCGATGCACAGGGGCGCACATAAGGAAAGAAGCAGCGAGGGCGGCGCCAAGGAGCACGCACTGCGGGAGGCAGCCGTAAAGGAGAATGTGCTTTTAAAGGCAGCCTTAAAAGAGCAGGCAGAACGCTTCGGCGCAGAGAAAAGGCAGAATGCAGCGTGGGTGGAGAAAGTGGGAAAGCACATAGCGAAGCTGGAGGAAAAGAGAACGCAGGATGCAGCGCGGAAAAAGGCAGAGGAAAAAAGAATGTTCTGCTTGGAGGCAGGCATAAAAGAGCAAGCAGGAAGCTGGGGCAAAGCGCAGAATCGTATTGCGCAGTTGACGGCAGAGAAGAGGAAGGGTGTAGAGCAGTTGAAAGCAGAGCACAAAAGAATTTTGGACTTGGAGGGAGCCTTGAAGGAGCAAGTAGAAAGCTTGAGGAAGGCGCAAGATCTTGCTGCGCGGCTGGAGACAATGCGAGCGAAGACCACAAGGCGGCTGGATTCGGCCACCGCGAAATATATAAGCCTTTTGAACACCGTGCAAACACAGAAGGCGCGGCTTTATGTGGCCATGCAAGATCGGAAAAATCTTTTGGAAAAAGCGCAAGAACTGGATGCTCTCTTGAAGATAAAAGAAGACTTCGTCTGTGCCTAGAGGCAAAAGCAAGGCGAGGATCTCCGCTGGCGAAGCGTGGGGGTTTGCGCAAGAAGAAGGCGCCGCCAGAAGAGTCAGGCTTAAAGCGCGTGGAGTTGGGCACTGCTGCAGGAAAGCCTGCTGACTCGGCAAGGTTTATTTGGGAGAAAAGGCTCCAAGAAAAGACGGGCTTGGGCGGCAGAATGCGCAGCAAGGGATTGCCACCTGTTTCGGGCTTTCCAGCTCGGGCCGGCCAGATTAAAGAATGCTGTTTTTTCTTTTTTCCCCTTTGCTTTGGATTAGTTCGATTTATTGAATAGTTTCCTATGCACACAGTTCTCCCTTGCTTCTTTTTCTTTCTTTTTGCGTGTTCCGCAGGCGCAGGGAGGGCGCGTGCGCTTCAAGCACGCAGGCATGGTGTATTACTTTAAAGCTGTTGCATTGGAGTGGAGAGCCAACTTTTGTGGCTTTGTTCAGGCTCTCCCGAGGCCTAGGCGCGAATGCATAAGGGAAAGCGCTGCAGCGAACAGGCTGAGCCAGCAAGGCTGCGCCAAAGTGATTCTGTTAGCAGCCCTTCAGCCTGCGGAGCCTGTAACGACTCTCCAATTCAACAACAAGTTGCTGCAGGAGCTGGCTCGGGTGCAGGGAAAGAGGCCCACAGCAAACTATGCAAAAACTATTTTCCTGTGCGAAAACAATTTGATCGTTCAATGAAAGCAGGTGTAACCCGGGGAGTAGTCGTGTGAAACATTGCCCTTTATTCTTTTTCGGCCTGCTTAAATGCCTATGTATTTAACTTGTTATTGCTTATGACGTGCTGTCAAACAAACATTCATTTGTGTCCAAACCAACAATCAATCACGAGTAAATATGCTTTCAGAATACAATAAAAGCATAAATCAAAAAGCAGCTTGCGCTTAGACATAAAACTTGTGTAATTTGCACAAAAACAATTTTTCATGCCCAAAGCACATATTAGATTGCAGGTTGGGCGTATATGGGCGCTGCTTGCTGCGCTGAACCTCACAGAATGCGTGTATTTTGCGCCCAAGGATGCGATGAGCTGTATGGGGGCTGTGGTGGGTTCCGTGGGCGGGAAAGGCATGCTTATCAGCCCGTGGTGGGCGGGGCACCCGCTGTGCATAGCGAAGCTTGGGTGGCTGGGGTACGTGTACAACATGCGGGCGTACTCGTGCGGGCTGGACACGAGCTTCAGCCTGGTGCCGAGGAAAGAAAATAGAGAAAAGGTGTACAAGCACACGCGAGAGCCGGAGAAGGACAGGGCGCGCCTTCCCGACAGCATTGCGAGTGCGGCAGCGTTTGCAGAAGACGGAGAGTACAGCGTGGCGTTCCATCGCGCGCTGGTGCATATGTTTGGCCTGCAGAAAGACAGCGGGCCAACCTACGATCGCCTGACAATTGAAACTGGACGACCGTGCTCGTTTACAGAATTCCTCCGGGAGAGCTGCAGAACGCAAAAAGAGGCGCACTACGTGCTGGCTGCGCTGGTTCTGCTGAGCGAGGGCGTGGACGTGCCGATTCGGACCGCTGGGAACAGAGTGATTCTAAAAAAAAGCCAGGAAAGCGCAGACGTGCTGGTGGATGTGTGTGTGCCAGCCGTGGACAGTGGAGAAAGACAGCCGTCCGAGACGTGGCAGGTGGTGAACTTCTTCAAGCGATACAGAGGCACACACAAGATGCCAAGCACGTATGATGAATTTGAGACTGCCGGCTTTCTGGAGAGCCCGCAGCTCCTGATTCTCACGTACGTAGGCGAGTACGTGAAAAACTCGGAGGAGCTCATGTCTGTGCTGGAGTGCATGTTTGCGCTTGTGGAGGGCATGGGGCTGGCAGAAAGCGTGGGAGACCCAGACAGCGTGGTCGGGCGGATCTTTGTGCGTGCAGAGCAGCTTCCGGAAGTAGAGGCGTATCTGGGCCTGTTTTTGGGCGCGCAGAAAAAGATGGAGAGGATGCGGGTTTTAGGAGAGTTTGTGCGTGTGCAGAAGCATCTAAACTCATCGAGCTATGAAAGGGCTACCGATGAGTTCGAAAATTTGGATGAGCCCAACAGAGAAGACTCTTCCGACGCCAGAAGCTACCCAGAGTACAGTGGGCTCAAAGAAACAGATAACTCTGACGATTCAGACATGCTGCAGAGCACAAGGGGCTTACCCGATCTTAAATCGTGCGTCAGATGCGAAGAACCAACAAGTGCATTGTGCTTGCTTCTTTTGTGCCTGGCGTACGACCCCAATAAGATGGAGTACGACATAAAAGGCCTGCTGGAGCGCATTGGACGGACAGAGCGGTCGGTGCAGGCCAAGGCGGCAATTCTGGCGCTGCAGGCTTATATAGAGGAGTGCTCTTTTTTCGGGGCATTCAACTTGCGCGACTGGATAGAGACAGACTATTATTCTAAACTTTACATAGTTGAGCGACTTGTGGTTATTTGGAAGAACAGGGATCTGGACATTCTAGACTTGATGCGCGAGTTTGCCACGAAAACCGGGCAGCCGCAGGCCGTGGTAGATGGCTTGGTGTCGCTTTCTAAGAGCCAGCCGGGTGTGCATAAGAATATATTGGATGCCGAGGTCCTACAGCGCATTAATTCGATTGTGCGCTCGCTGGCTGTGTACGAGCAGGCGCAGATAGAGACCGTGGAGGATATAGACAAGTCGAACTGCAGCCGCTACGCGGTTAGAGTAAGGAATCCGCACAAGGACAAAAGGCGCCAACAGACCTTTGAGATGGTTACCTGCGAGTGGTATGTAAAGAGCAGCGTGCAGATGCCAGACCCCTTTCTTTCCAACCGCGTGCTGAAAGAAATGCGCAGGCTGGCTGTGCAGTACAGACAGGACGCGGCTTTTCCCAGCTTTGTGTTTGCGGAGTGCATTGACAGAATGGCGCTGAGGTGCAACCAGCTCCGGGACTATGGCCTATACAAGAAAAAAGTGTGGAAGGCAGCAAGGAAAACCGCCAAGCGCAGCGCGGAGAGGCCGAACCGGGTGCTGCTGGGGCTGCCGATTGTGGGCGTAAATTTAAGAGAAGAGCTTTCAGCGAAGATGCTTCTGTTTGCGCACCGGCACGGCGTGGCGCTATCTGCCTCGCATCCAATCGCACGTCTGGTCGCAAACGTGATAGGGAGCGCGAAGCTTGAAACCAAGTTCTTGCGCGAAAGTATTTTGAAGGTGCCTTCATTCATTGGCGTTCTGAAGACGCTGTGCCCGACTGTGTGCCCGACTGTGTGCCCGCCCAAGGGCTGCACTGCAGCGCCCTTTGAATACTATGGAAGCCCTACGTATCGGGACGTGTATGCCCAAAAAAAGTGTATGTTTTATTCGGGAAGGATCAATATGGAGCACATCCGGACGTGTGCTGCGCATACGGGGAGGCCTTTGTTCAACTGCACGTTGCTAAAAGGCTACAGGTATCGAGAGGACGCGCCGTGTCTTCTGGCTGCAGAAAAGCCCGTGGAAATCCTAGAAGAAACCATCACGCTTGTCCGGGCCGAGCACACAGGGAAGGCGCTGGCGAAGGCCAACGCGCTGGTCAGAGAGCTGCTCTTTATTTGGCTTTTTGCGGCACTTTCCTCCAGCGAGGCAGCGAGACATTGCAGGCTTGTTGTGTGGGTGTGCCAGGAGCTGGGCCAGGAGGGCTTCTGCCGCGGCTGCAAAAAAGAAGTATCAGATTTCGACTTTAAAGCCGTCAGTAAAGCGCTGGCGTCCTTGGAGGACCCGTGCATACAAAAGGCTCTTGAGAGCATCGGGTGGGCGAAGCTTGACATGCTGAAGAGAGCATTGTGCGAGCGGCGGGATCGCTTGAGATTTCGGATGTAGGCAGAAGATAAAAGCTGCACAGGCAAAGGCTGGTTTGTTTGGAGGAGGGCTGTAGGCCATCTCAGGCGAAGCGCGGAGAATGTGCGCTTTGGCGTGGCAGCGCGTGGGCAGTCTTGCTGCAGAGAAAATAAAGAAAGCAAAAGCAGTGTGTTTATATGGGCTGGGGGGAAAAAGTAGAATACAGAATTTGTTTTTGGAGTGTATAGCAGTGTATTATGGTAGAGAAACGGCATAACGTAGAGGGGCGAAGCGAGAGAGCAGGCAATCATAAGAAGGCGTAGGTTCATGTTTGGGGGCTCTGTTGAGTGTGGGGGCTTTTTTCTCTTTACTGCATGCAGGGCGGCAGAGAAACAGGCTTGTTTTTTATTTTTGCGGACAGGCAAAGGGAGAAGGAGAACACACGCGCAGAGCTCCAAAGCGCGCAGCGCTTTTCTAACTTTAAGAAGCGTCGTTTGCCCCCTTGGGAGTTTTTTAGTGGAATGAATTTATTGATTTATCTTCTCTATCCTGGGTCTATGCCTTTTTCCTAGATCTATTCTCCGCAATATCTCACTTCAGGCGTGCATGGTCACGAAAACCAAACAGCCTATATCGGTCCGACTTACACCTCCTTATCCCATGGGCTGCGGATTAGCTGACTACACAGTATTTTTTGTGCATCATAGTAGGCTCTATGCATGCCCCCTCGGTTTGGGCTGATGGTCAGAAGCATTATTTGCCTGTTTAGGAGTTTTTTAACTAGTTAGATTTATTGAATAATTTCCTACGCACACAGCTGTTTCCAGCATGCAAAGGCGCTTTTTGGGGCTCTTTGCAAAACCTGCAAAAATAAAGAATAAAGAATAAAAAGAAAAATGGAAAGACAGCTCCAAGTTGCACATTCTCTTCGCTCTTCATCCGCTCCTTTCACCTGCCTGCCCCCCCAAGTTCCTATGCGGCCCTGTTTGGGAGCTCAGCAGCTTTTTTTCTATTTTTTCCCATGATCAGCTAGCTGCTGGGCAGCATTTTAAATGAAAAAGCAATTTTTCCAAAAATGAGATTGCGTTTTGGAGGATTATTATGCGGACTTCTTGCAGCCGTGCAGATAGCAAAATGCATATACATGACGCAGAATGAGATGCTGGCGTGCCAGAACAAGGAGGTGGGCCACGTGGGCGGAAAGCCCGTGTATGTGAACACGCGCTGGGGCGGGCACCCGGTGTGCATAGCGCAGCTTTGCCGGCTGGGGCATGCGTACAAAATGCGGGCGTACTCGTGCAAGGTGAACACAAGCTTCAGTCTGGTGCCGGACAGCAAACCGAACAACTACTTACACGAGCATATATATACGAGAGAGCCGGAGAAGGACGGGCTGCATTCGAGAGTGGTTGCTCGCAAAGGTGGATACAGCATGAAGTTCCACAGGGCGCTGCTGCAGATGTTTGGACTGCGGAAATCTAGCGGGCCGGAGTACGACTGCCTGACAGTTGAGTGCGCGCGACCAGGCTCTTTTATTCAGCTCCTCCGGGAGGGCTGCAAGACGCAAAAAGAGGCGCACTATGTGCTGGCAGCGCTGCTGCTCCTGTGCGAGGGCGTGGACGTGCCGATTGAGCTGGCTGAAGACAGGGTGACTATAAGAAAAAGAAAAGGCAGCAATCACCTGCTGGTTGATGCCCGAATAGGAGGGGCAGCTTTAGACGGTGTGGAAGGGCAGCTTTCCGAGGCTTGTCAGGTGATAGACTTCTTCATGCAGTACAGAGATACATACAAGATGCCGAGCACGTATGAGGAATTCCAGTCGGGTAACTTTCTGGAGAGCCCGCAGCTCCTTATTCTCACGTATGTAGGCGAGTACGTGAAAAACGCTGAGGAGCTCATGTCTGTGATGGAGTGCATATTCAAGCTTGTGGAGGGCATGGAGATGGCCAAAAGCATGGAGGACCCGGACAGCGTGGTCAGCCGGCTGTTTGTGCCTGCGAGCCGGCTGCCCGAGGCCCAGGCGTATCTTGCGCCGTTTCTAGAGATATTTCCTGCTTTAGCAGCCTTGGAGCATTTGGAAGAGTTTAAGAGCTTTCAAAACGAAGTAAGGATGGCAGTCCAAAAAAAAGATGCCCCAGATGAAGAGAAGGAGTACTTTGACGACCGCGGCACGAACTGCAGGTTTATTGGAGAGTGCTTGCTCTTGCTGTTTCTTGTGTTTGACTCCGAAAACCACGCGTACAGCCTGGAGGGCCTTCTGAGCGGGGCCGAGAACACGAAGGAGGTGGAGAAAACCAGGGCGTTTTTGGATGAGCTGCAGGCGTGCATTGAAAAAAAGTGCTCCTCTTTGGGGTTTCTCAATGTCACACAACAGCAGAGGTACAGGGACCTGTGGCTCAAGATGAACACGCAGTTTAAGGAGGCGCTGGGGAATGCCGCGCCGACATTCCTAAACAAGATGCGCGTGCTTGCGCAGATGGCTGGGCGGCCGCATGCCGTGGTGGACGAGCTGGCAGCGCACCAGACGGCGATGGACGCCGAAAGAAGCACAGAGTTGACCCCCGAGGCAATTCAGAGCGTTCGGGCGCTGTTGCGATCAATATCAGTGGAAAAGCGCGTGAAAGTGGCCATTCAGAAGCAATCGAAGGGCTCTGAGCCCGAAGGCTATCTTCTTACAGTAAAGTATGCGAAAATATGCACGTGCATCAAGCAAGCTCTGGATCTGTCGTTCCGTGAGAATGGCTCCTCGAAGATATCTATTTTGCTGCCATTTTTTAGCGCTTCTGAAAGCTTGCAGAATGAGCTGGGCGTGGCGCCCGCAAAATACAGGCAGCATAAGCGGTTTTCGAGCTTTGTGCTTGCGGAGTGCATGCACCAGATGGCGATAGGGGCAGCCGCGCAGAGCTTTTCAGAAATAACAACCAAAGAGCTGCGGGAGGCCGCGAGAAAGGCTGTCGAGCACAGTGCAGACTGGCCGAATAGGGTGCTTTTGGCGCTGCCGGTTGCGGGCAAGGACATCAGAAAAGAGCTTGTCTCTGCGCTTGTGCTGTATGCTGAGCAGAATAAGATTGCGCTGACTCCAGAACACCCAATAAGCCGGCTGGTTGCAAACGTGATAGGGAGCATCGACCTTGGCGGCATGACAGCGCAGTATACGATCTTGGGGGTGCCTGTGGTCACCGGAACTCTGCATAAGTTGTGTCCGACGGTGCAGCTGTCTGACAAGCTGCATCAGGAGATTTGGAGTTTTCAGAAATTTGCCAACTATGACGGGCTGTATCCCATCGAAGAGGCGGACGCTCTTACACACAAAAGCATAATGCAGTATTTCTGGGAATACGCCGTGAAGGCAGGCGAGCCGCTGTACATGTGCGAGATGCTGAAAGATACTGCTGAAAGGCCATTTTGTTGCACATGGCTATCTGCGGCCAATCCGCGGGAAGTGCTGGAAGAGATCTTCGTGCTTTTGCGGTCAGAGCACACGGGGGAGGATTTGCAGAGGGCCGAGGCTCTGATTGCGCAGCTGCAGCAGGCCTGGCCGGAATACTTCCAGTAGAAGAGGCTGCCGCAAATACAGTGTGAGACTTCCGCCAGAAGTATGTTGAGCCAGAAATGAGTGGCGCAGGAAAGTCTCTAACGCAAAGAGTGCTCTTTTCTGCGCTCACTATGCAGAAGCACTCACTGTCTAAAACATGACGGTGTGCAGCCAATAAACATAATTCGTTATACAACCTTTCAGCGTGCAGCGCGGAGAAGAGACAGGGCTTTTCAAAGCTTTGGCTGCTTTGCGTGTTTTCTGTGCGTCTCGCCCATTTTCGGCAAATTCTTTTTGTGCTTTTTCTGCCTAGCGCCAAGTGCAGACAGAAGCCTGCGTTCAGGCGGGAGTCATTGGTATATCTCTTCTGTGCGCCTGGCAACGTGCCACGGCGCAGCCTTTTGTGCCCAAGCTGCCAAGCCTCCCCTGCTGTTGTGGGAACTTTGATTTCCATTCTTGCAATCCTTCGGAAGGAAATGTGTATATGCGTTTCATTTTCTTTCGTGTGCTATGTCTGCAAGTCCCGAAAGACCCTGAGCCACCCTGGGCGCTGGGGCGGGTGTGCACAGGGAAACAATCAATAAATCGAGTGGCTATTTGTCTGTTGTTCTTTGGGGGCAGTGGGTCGGGAGAGGGCGATTGTCTTATCATCCTGTGCCTTGTTGCAGAGTGCTGCGTGTTTAGTGCAGCTTCTGGATAAAGCCTTGAAGGGGAAAAAGAAGAAAAATAAAGTGAATAAAATGTAGTATTCAGGAAAGGTTGGAGACAAAAAAGCAGAATGGAGAATTTATTTTTTGGAGTATGTTAGTAGTATAGTAGAAAAGACACAAAGGCATATGGTAGAGAGATGAAGCGAGAGGAGGCAGGAATGGAGAGTTTGGTGCAGGGAGGTGTGTTCTCATGAATGGAGGCTCTGCAGAGAGCGGGAGGTTTGCTGGTGCGCGCATGCGGGCATTCTTTCTCATTGTGCTATGCAGAGAGGCAGAGAGAGCGTCTTGTTTTTTATTTTTGAAGGCGGGAAAAGAGGGAAGGAGCACACACGCGCAGGAGGAGGGAAAACAGAAGGCACAAGACGGTGTTATAAACGGAGCAGGCATGCGCGGGTGTGCTAGATGGCATTTCCGGGTGCGGCAGAACGCACAGCAAGTATTGTTGGGAAAGAAGTGGACGATAGAGACATTAGAGAGCCTCGAAGGAGAGAAAGCAAAGAGCAGGACAGAGAAGTGCACAGAGAGAGCCCGTCTTGTGGGTCCGGGCATTTAATCATGTGCAGAGTGTGCGTGCGCATTGCATGCTAGTATAAAGTATATAAATGTGGCAAATTCTCTGAATTTCCACACTGTCGGAGACAGCCAAGATCCATGGTTGGCGTTTTTGATATGGATGCGTAAGAATTGAAACCAGTAGCGATCGGGTTATAAGCATAGCTACGAGAGCAATTTCAAAAAAGACGCGCAGAAGTTCGAAGAAAGTAAAAGCAAGTGAATCTAAAGCCGGCCGCCGGGGCTCACCAAAGGCCAGCAAATCTTTACCGGAACTGACTCTAGACAGGCACATGCCTGCCCGGATTTATGGCAACAAAAATAGATTGCCCGTGCACATGCCCGCATTTTATTTTGTTGGCAGCAGGCGTAGGGCCCCAAAGCGCGCAGCGCTTTTCTAACTCTAAGAAGCATCGTTTGCGCGCTTAGAAATTTGGCAGCTTTTTATTTCTTCCCATGATCACCCGAATTATGGGCAGCATTTAAACGAAAAAGCATTTTTTCCAAAAATGAGATTGCTCTTTGGCTTTATATGTGTGCTGCTTGCGGCAAGGCAGGTGGCAAGATGCAGACCCATGGCTTACAATGAGATGCTGCCGTGCCTGAGCAAGGCTGTGGGCCGCGTGTGCGGAGAGGACGTGTATGTGAGCCCGGAGTGGGTGGGGCACCCAGTGTGTGCGTCCACGCTTGTCTGGCTGGGGTATGTGCACAACATGCGGAGGTACTCGTGCGGGCTGGACACGAGCTCCAGCCTGGTGCCGAGCGGGCGAGTGGACAAATATGGAGAAGAGGTGTACACGTACACGCGAGAGCCGGAGAAGGACCGGGCACACCTTCCGGACAGCATTGCGAGCGCAGCGGCGTTTGCAGGAGACAGAGGATACAGCGTGGCGTTCCACCGCGCGCTGGTGCATATGTTTGGCCTGCAGAAAGACAGCGGATCGGCATACGATCGCCTGGCGGTTGAAACTGGACGGGCGTGCTCGTTTACAGAGTTTCTCCGGGAGAGCTGCCGAACAAAAAAAGAGGCGCACAGTGTGCTGGCTGCGCTGGTTCTGCTGAGCGAGGGCGTTGACGTGCCGATTGAGACAGCTGGGAACAGAGTGATTATAAAAAAAAGAAAAGACAGCGAGGACGTGCTGGTGGATGTGTGCGTGCCAGCTGTGAAGAGTGGAGAAAGGCAGCCATCCGAGACGTGGCAGGTGGTGAACTTCTTCAAGCGGTACAGAGGCATATACAGGCTGCCGAGCACGTACGAAGAGTTTAAAACGGGAGACTTTCTGGAGAGCCCGCAGCTTCTGATTCTCACGTACGTAGGCGAGTACGTGAAGAGCGCGGAAGAGCTTATGTCTGTGCTGGAGTGTGCGTTCAAGCTTGTGGAGGGCATGGGGCTGGCAGAAAGCCTAAAAGACGCGAACAGCGTGGTCGGGCGGATGTTTGTGCCTGCGAGCCGGCTGCCTGAGGCCGAAAAGTATCTGGGCCCGTTTCTAGAGGGGATTTCCGCTCTAGCGGCCTTGGACCACTTGAGAGAGTTTGACCGCCTTCAAGGCGAAACCAAATATGCGGTCCTGATTGACAGGGCCTTAGACGGGAAAAAGAGGTACATTGACGAGCGTGGCACGAACTGTAGGTTTCTTGGGGCGTGTCTGCTCTTCCCGTGCCTGGCATACGACCCGGAGAAGAACGGGTACCGCCTGGAGGGCCTGCTGACCGGGGCCGAGAACACGGAGGAGGTGGCCAAAACCAGGGCGTTTTTTGAGGCGGTGCAGAAGAGCATAGAAGAGAGTTTTCCTTTGGGCTGGCTGGAGGAAGGACAGGCGCAAAAATACAGGAGGCTGTGGCTCATGGTGCATGCGCAGTTCGTGGAGGCGCTGGGGATTTTGGAGCCGACGGTTCTAAACCAGATGCGCGTGCTTGCACAGATGACCGGGCGGCCGCAGGGTGTCGTGGACGAGCTGGCAGCACACCAAGCGGCGATGGATGCGGAAAAAAGGACAAAGCTGGGCCCCGAGGCGATCGAGAGCGTTTGCGCGCTGCTGCGCTCAATAGCGGTGGACAAAGGTGTGAAGGTGAAGATTAGAGAGGACTATGGCTCCTTTAGAGAGAAAGAATGCATGCTTATAATAAATCGTCTGCCCGAATGCGCCAACAGATGTGAAATGATATCGGTGTTCACACAAGAAAAGACTTGGATGATACATCTAGATCTGCCATACCGAACTCTTTCTGATAGAGATTGGAACGTGCTGGATGAGGCACGTATGCAGTACAGAAAGGATGCGCGGGCCTCGGGCTTTGTGCTTGCGGTGTGCATGCACCGAATGGCGGCTGCGAAAGACACTTTAAACTTTCCAGGCACAACAATCGAAGATGTGCAGGAAGCTGCGCGGTGGGCAGTTGAGTGCAGCCCGGCCAGGCCTGCCGGCGTGCTTATGGCGCTGCCAGCTATGACCAATTACTTCAGGGGGGAGCTTGTTTCTGCGCTGGTGCTGTATGCCGGGCAGAAGAAGATTGCGCTGACTCCGGCGCACCCGGTGGGCCGGCTGGTTGCGAACGTGATAGGGAGCATCGACCTTAGCGACCCGAAAAACCAGCATTTTATCCTGAGTGCGCCTGCGGTCACCGGCATTCTGCGGGCGCTGTGCCCAGCGCTGCAGCTGTCTGAAAAGTCGCAGATGGAGCTTTGGAACTTATACACGCGTAATATGCATTTCGGGCAGTATTCCCCCAGAAAGGCCGATCTGCTTACACGGGAAAGCCTTATGTGGTATCTTCGAGCGTATGCAGAGGAAAAAAATGAGCCGCTGTTCAGGTGTGAGCTGCTGCATGGGCATGCAGATATAGCCAAGCATAGCACGTGTCTGTTTGCGACGGACCCGGTGGCATCCCTAGAAGAGATGTGCGCGCTCGTTTTGGCTGATCACACAGGAGAAGACCTGGTGACGGCCAAGGCCCTGGCCAACGCGCTGCGGCTGTCCTGGCTGGCGGTTCTTTTGGAGGGGGGCTTGGAGGAGAATCAAGACGCAATTGTCGAGATTTACAAGACTGCTAAGCCGGGGCATCTTGAAAAAGAGCTTAGCAGGCTTTGCGATTTTTGGCTTGACGCAGATCTAGACTCTACACTAGACGGCCTGGATAGAGCAAGGAATGCTCTTGTGAGGGAAGGCGGTTGCGCAAAGTTTGAAGCGCTGCATGAACTCTACCGCCAAGTATGCATTAGATTCCGGGGTTGACTCGGAAGCATTGGCTGAAGCCCCTCTTTTGCCTGCTTTCGGGCTGCGCAGTGCGCAAGCGGTGAAGCCGCGGGTGTGGGGTGGCTGCTGCCGGCCATTCGTTCCACGCCAAAAAGTGCATGCACTGCGTGGTGTTCTCTGGCTGAATCTCTATGGAAAATAAAGCAGAAAAAAACATGTGCGCTTTGGGGCAGGCAGTTGCCAAGTTTATTTAGTGGGCGCGGAGAGGGGAAGGCCACGGGAAGCTGTCGGGTTTTCAAGGGGTGGCAGAGCTGTGCTGCTGCTCCAAGCTGGCGGCGGGTCCGGCCTTAAAGGCGCAGGTGGCCGATGGGGCAGTTGCTTGCTGACAGCACAATTCGGGTGGCTGGTTGCTGTTTATGCTGGCTTGGCAGAGGCCATGCAAGAGTACGGCAAATTAAAAGCATAGGCAAGTATTTAAGAAGGCCGAAAAAACAAAAGACAATAGTTCACTAGCACATCAAGTGTTGCAACCAAACGTCTGGGCATGGGGAGGGGCAGGCGGCGTGGAAGAGGCCGAAGGCTGGAGTCCAGTCGAGAGAAGTTTTATTTTTCTTTGCAGGGCCGGGGGAAGCTTCCAAATGAAAGGCTTTTAGAATTCGGCAATTCTATTTTTGCACAAGTTGTATAAAAGCGCAGCGCATGCATATTTCTAGGGGCAGGCAGTTAACAGAATGGTGCATAGGCGCATTTCTCTAGCTGGGCTGTCGGGTGCGTGCATAGGCGCAGCGGCTATTGATTCTGGTCTATGTTGAACTGGAGTATGCCCACCACGCCGTTGAACACCTCCGCTCCGCTGGGCGTCTGCGACAGAGCGCTCCGGTGCGTGTTCAGAGCCTCCAGCAGCGCAGAGGCTTCTTGGCTTTTGATATACGGTCTGTGGCTGGCACCACTGCATGCCTGGATCGACCTTGGCCCAAGCCTGCTGCCTAGAACAGGCACCATCTCGGGCAAGGTGTCTTTGTGTTTCAAGCTGGCGAGGAACACGAGGAGGTCAAAGATTGCCTTGGTGTCCAGTGCCTTCCTCTGGTCTTCCTTCTCCACATCCACAATAAGCGCGCCAATTTCGTCTATGCAGCGCGTTGACTTGTCTGCAAGCAGCGCGGGAAACAAGTCAGAGGCGACGACAAAGCCTTTTAGCTCGCTGCACAGGAAAAAAGGCCGGTTTGCTTTATCTTTGTACTCCCTGAAGTATTTCATGATGGCGTTTGCTGCGGGCGCGCAGTTGTCTCCGGTGTATCTCCCTATTCGGATGGTAGTGAATAAGTTTTTATAGATTATAGCAGTTATGTTCTTTGACAGGGCGATTCTTGGATACAGCTCGCCCAGCATGTCCAGGCTGACTATGTGCTGCAGCACAGCGATTTGCGTTGCATCGTCGTCCAGCGGAAGGCTGCCGAGCATGTTCGAGAGGAGGCGCACGCCCGGGTGCTCCTGGGCGAGCTCGAAGCCTTTTGCTGCTGCATGCAGGGTGAAGTGCTTGGCGAACTCTTTTATCTGTTCGCATCTCAGGGGGTTTCCGAGCAAGAAAAGCTCGTTTGGGTGGGCAGAGGCCCCGCTTTCCGCCAGGCGGCCTGCGGCCTCTCGCATGCCTTGAGAAAGCATGCTCTCTTGAGTATCCATGTCCTTTTGAGTATCCATGCCCCTGGCCCTCCACGCGTCTGCGTACCCGGCAAGCAGGCACTCTACAAAGTCTGCAGGGTCTGAGTAGCCGTCCACCGCAAAGAAGGCCTCTTCTTCACCAGTCGCTGAAGACAGAAAAGTCCACGGGCACAAAGCAACCGCAAGGTGTTTGGGGGTAGACTCTAGGCATATGCCCTGCTCTATCACGCTGTCCTTGTCTGTGTACTTCAGGGTGATCGTTCCGTAGAGGTCTTTCTGCCCGTCGCTCCAGGCGTCGACCTTCAAGTTGGAGACTTCGACTTTTAAGGATTTGTCCACGGAGAGAGACGCAAAAAGCTCTGCCGCATACTCCAGAGTTTTTTCAAACACATCCTCAGAGGCCTTGCCAATTTTGCAGCCTTCTAGCACTTGTGCAAGCTCGCGTATTCTCGGCTCCTCCTGCTCCCGCCTGCCTGTTGTTTCTGCGACAACGTAGAGAGCGTTAAAAAATCCGGAGCACAGCTCGTTTCGGCTTTTTCTCACGTACGCGATGTGCTCGCTCTGCAGGGCAGACACGACGTAGTTCCACTCCTGCATCGTCTCTTTGGTGGCGCACGCCTTTGGGGTGACACCCTTCAACTGGAAGAAAGTGCGCAGAGCCTCTGTTTTATCACCCTCTTTTTTCTTGCCGAGCATGGCGTCCGCGTCGTACTTCTTCAGGGCTGGGTCGTGGGCAAGGCAGCAGAAGAGCGCCAGCAGGCCGGCCTCCACGCAGTTGCTGAAGGTTTCGCTCAAAAGCTTGCGCTGGCCTCTCTTGCAGACATGCACGCTTGTGTACGCCGGCAGCATGTTTCGGCTGGTGAACGGGAACGTCTGTAGAATCTTCATTCTTTCTTGAATCACCCTAAGCGGGCGCAGAATCTTGTCTTCCTCGGCCTCGGCCTTGCTCTCCACAAAGCACGCGCTGTATACGTTTCTTGTAACATTTTCCGGCAGGCCTTTGAGGATGACATGCGCGCACGCTGCAAAGTCCAGGGCGTCGTCCTGGCTCGTGATGTACTCGAAGACGTACGCCTGGATGAGGAACTGCGGCGTGTTTAGAAAGTCCCCGGTGCTGAAGGCCTCTGGCGTGCACGGCAGTTTTCCTTTTCCTCTGTTGTCTTTGAAGAAGTCTATGACCAGGGCAGCCTTTTCGCACGCCTTTTCCTGAAATGCTATGCCGTCTATCTGCAGTGATATTTCTTCGGGCGTGGTCGTGATGGGCACGTCGACGCCCTCGCTCAGCAGGAGGAGCGCAGCCAGCACGCAGTGCGCGTGGTGCTTGGTGGGCATCCTCTGCAGGGCCTTGAAGAAGGAGTCCTTTCGGCCCACAGTTACGGACAGAGCGTGCCCGTCGACAGACGGAAACATCTCGATGAGCGCGCGGTGGTACGCCACGGCGTAGTCTTCTGGGGCAGCAGACTTGAAACCCAGAGCGGGCCCCTCCGCAGGCGGGTAGGGCTTGTCGTTCTGCACGTTTCTTGTGTACATGTGCCTCCATGTTTTTTTGGCATCCCCAACAGGCTCCAGCTTATAGTCAGTTTCTATCTCGGGCGAAAAGAAGCGCTTGTTGTGCATGTAGCCCAGCTCGGAGTACACGAACCCGCGCAGCAGGCAGAGCGGCCCCCTCGGGTTGATGAAGGCTTTGCTGTTTCCTATTTCAGTGCCTTGTATCTCCACGACCTGGTCAAACGATATTCTTGCGTGCGCGCAGCGCGCCAGCGCTGCAAGCATAAGTGCATAAAATTTTGCGTGCATGATCAGGGGCAAAAAAAAGATGTATATATACGTTACAGATGAGCCCCTGCCCCGGGCGGGCTGGCCTATCAGAAAAAACAAAGCAGCACAGGGGCTGCATGTAACTGTCCTATTGGTTATCAAAGTGATAAGCGATAACTGCCCAGATGGCTCAGAAAAGTGTGCACTTCTGCAAAAAGCCAGTCAGGGTGCTGTTTAGAAAAATGAGAGACAGATCTATAGTTGGGGGACGCACAGGGCGGATTGAGCACGGTTCAAGCATGCGACAAACAAAGGGCGGCGCTTTGCATGGATGCTGCCGTGTGCCCGCGGTTGGGGTGCAGGCGTGTTCCAGAGCCTTTTGCAATGTTTGCAAAATTGAGAATAAAGTGCGGCAAGACCCACTGTGTTCCACACCAGCAGAACTGGAAGGGGGCTTATTTTTGCTTAAATTACAGCATACCCACCGGGCGAGTTTGAGCATGCACAGGCGTTCAAGATGCGCGACTGCAAGCCAATTTAAAGTCTACAGCCGGCATCTCCAAAAACGGATTGCTGCATGCTGAAAGCATAGTTGCTTGTGCTTGGCTATTTCCAAGGCAGGCACAGTGAAAGGGCTTGCAATTTAGACGTATGGGACCGGCTAGAAAATGCATAGGTTTGAGCAGGTCGAAAAGAATAAAGAACAAAGTTTCACCCAGCACTTCCAGTATTGCAGCTGTGGCTTTTGTATTTGCGTGTTGGCAGCGCCCATTGGCAGGGTCTTCTTTTGCGCAATCGCTGGTGCTGTTTCGGTAGTCGTACTGCAGGAAAAAGAAGAAAAATAAAGTGAGCAAAATATAGTATTATGGAGAGGTTGGAAGGAAAAAAGCAGAATGAAGGATTTATTTTTGGAGTGTTATGATGGTATAGTAGAGAAACGAGAAGAAAGACAGAAGTAGAGAGAATGCGTAGGAGAAGGCAGGAAAGGACAGTTTGGCGCAGGGTGGTATGTTCTCAGGATTGGAGGCTCTGCAGAGTGCGGGAGGGTTGGTGGTGCGCGTGCGGAGGCATTCTTTCTCTCAGAGGTAGTTAGAGAGGCAGAGAGAGAGCCGTATTTTTTATTTTTGAAGGCGGGAAAAGAGGGAAGGAGCACACACGTGCAGGAGGAGACGGCGAGAGCGGGGCCGGGAGGAGGGCGCAGAGCGCGTGCGGGCACCGCAGGTGCAGGTGCGGATGGGTCTGCTGGTATGGCGGGCTGGCGTGGGGTGTGCAAAGAATTCGGGCATTGGGGGAAAGAGGCAGAGAAGGCAGGGTGGAGATGGAGGTGGAAGCTTGGCGGGGTCGGGTGCTTTGCGTGGGGCGTGCTCTTCTCTGCGCGCAGCGCACTGGCAGCGTTCAGAAGTACCCATCACTTTTATGTACTCATCAGTTTGATATACTTCAAACCAATATAAGCGCATGGAGTTTTTGCGGGATGGGTGGACACGTGTTTCAAACAAAAGGAAAAAGACATGCGCTGGTGTGCGCCGGGATGCTATTGGCGCTGGCGTGCGGTGCGTTCGGGAGCGTGTTTGTGGGGCAGGAGGCAGACAGGGACGGGCACAGGAAGGATTCGGGTTTGGAGGCTGGGCTCAAAAGGCAGGCGGAGCGGAATGGGGTGCTACAAGAGCGAGAAGAAGGGTTTGGAGCAGAAAGAAGAGAGAATGCAGGGCGGGTGGAGACAGCGCAGGAGGCAGATGCGAAGTTGAAGGCCAGGATAAAAGAGCTGGAAGAAGCCTTAGAGGCCGAGAGAGCGCAGAGTGCAGAGCGTGTGGAGGCGGGGATAAAACTCGGGCTTGCGCTGGATGTGGGGCTTGAGACGCTGAAAGAATCCATATTGGCAGATAGAGCGAAAGTTGCGGAGTGGATGGAGAAAAGCAAAAAGAAAACTGCAGAGCTGGAGGGCAGGCTAAAAAAGCAGGGGAAAGAGTTTAGCGCCGAGAAAAAGCTGCTGCGGGCGCGGATTGCATGGCTGGAGGCGGAGAGAGCGGAGGGAAAGAGCAAAAAAGGCGTCTGGGGTTGGTGAGGGCCTTAGAAGAGGGGACAGAAGGCTGGGGGGAAGTGGCAGGCTGCAGGTGTGGCCTGGGAGGAAAGGGGCTTTGGTGCGGATTCGGGTTTTAACTAGTTAGATTTATTGAATAATTTCCTATGCACACAGCTGTTTCCAGCAGCAAAGGCGCTTTTTGGGCTCTTGTGTATTGGTAGTATAGCAGCGAAAAGACAGAAGTGCATATCATAGAGAGAAGGCGCGAGAGAATGCATAAAAGGGTAGTTTGACGCAGGGATGTGCGTGCTGGCGTTTGGGCGCTGCCAAAAGCGCGCGCGAGGGCTTTCTTTTTCTTTGCGCTGTGTGCAGAGACAGGAAGACCGTTTTGTTTTTGTTTTTGTAGGCAGGCAAAGGGAGAAGGAGCACACATGCGCAGGAGAAGACAGCGCGGGCAGAGCTGGAAGAGCGCTTTTATATGGAAGTGCAGCCCAGGAAAGTTTTAGCGTGGTAGGGCCCGAAGGCATGGCTGCTTGGGGGTGGTTGCTGTTAAGAAAATCCTATGCAATTCGGGTTGTAGTTGTTCAAACAAGGAAATAAAAAAATATTTAAGCAGGCCGGATTTTAACAAAGCACAGTGTTTCAATGAGTGCTTCCCGCATTACAACCAAAATCATGAAAAATCATCGCCTTTATTTGGAGAAAGTCTGCACGGAGTGGGCATTGCCGGGCGCACAAGCTATACGCACCTGCGTGCAGCGCCTGAGCATGGCGCATGCATCTAAAGAAAGGCTGCGAAAAGGGGATGCTCTCCGCTGGCCGGGAGCAGCGCGGCCATAACAAAGCAGTTTGCAAGGGCTTTTATTTGTCTGCAGCCCAGAGGGCGCAGGAAGGCCGCAGGCCGTGCGCTTTTGGCCAGATGCGTGCATGCGCAGCGGCTAGTTTTTCTGGTCTACTATGGACTGGAGCAGGCCCACCACGCCGTTGAACACCTCTTCTCCGCCGGGCACCTGCGACAGAGCGCTCCGGCGCATCTCCAGATCGTGCAGAAAAAAAGAGGCTTCATCGCTCTCTATATAATAGCTGGGTCTGTACGCCTCGATCGAGTTTAGCCCAACCCTTCTCCATAGAGCAAGCACCAGCTCAGGCGGGGTGCTATCTTTTTTCAAGCTGACGAGGAACAGGAGGAGGTCGAAGACCGCCTTGGTGTCCAGTGCCTCCTTCCGGTCTTCCTCCTCCACGTCGAGAAGGAGTGTGCCAATTTCGTCTGTGTGGCGCGTTGACTTGTCTGCGAGCAAAAGGGGAAACATGCTAGAGATGTTGAAATTCTTTGTTAGTAGTTCGCACCGGAAAAGAGGCTTGCCCGACTTAGCGGTGTACTCTGTAAGGTACTTCATGATGGCGTTCCCTGCGGGCGCGCAGTTGGCTCCGGTGTACCTCCATACGCCAATGACGTTGTATGGGTTTCCATAGAGCGTAGAAGTTGTTTTCTTTGACAGGGCGATTTTTGGAAATAGCGTGCCCAGCATATCCAGACATACTATATTCGCCAGCGCATTGGATTGCGTTATATAGCCATTCAGCGGAAGGCTGCCGAGCAGGTTCGAGAGGAAGCGCACGCTCAGGTGCTTCTGGGTGAGCTCGGTACCTTTTGCTGCTGCACGCAGGATGAAGTCCTTGGTGATTGCGAATGCCTGGTCCTGCTTTAAAGCCAGCCCCAGCACCAAAAGCTCGTTTGGGTGCTCTGGAGCTGCATCTGCCGCCAGGCGGCCTGTGGCCTCTAGAATGCGTTCAGCAAGCATTTTCCCTTGCGGGCCCAGGCCCCTGGCCCTCCACGCGTCTGCGTACCCGGCAAACAGACACTCGGCAAAGGCCTCGGGCTCTGGGCAGCCGTCCACCGCAAAGAAGGCCTCTTTTTCTTCGCTGTTAAGAGAAAGGAAGACCCACGGACACAGGGTGACTGTAAGGTGTCCAGGCTTAAAGGCAAGGCATACTCCCTGCGCTATCATTTTGTCTTTGTTTGTGTACTTCAGGGTGATCTCTCCATAGAGGTCTTTCTGCTCATCGCTCCGGGCGTCGACCTTCAAGCCGGAGAATTCGACTTTTAAGGATTTATCCACGGAGAGAGACGCGAAAAGCTCTATTACATACTTTTTTGTTTTTTCAAACACGTCTTCAAAGTCTTCATCAACCTCGGAGTCTTCTAGCATCTGCGCAAGCTCGCGTATCCTTGGCTCTTCCTCCTTCTGCTTGCCTGCTGCCTCTGCGATAACGTAGAGAGCGTTAAAAATTCCGGAGCGCACCTCGTTGCTGCTCTCCCTTTTGTACGCGATGTGCTCGCTTTGCAGGTCAGACACCACGCGGTTCCACTCCTGCATCGTCTCTTTGGTGGCGCACACCTTTGGGGTGACACTTTCCAACTGGAAGAATGTATGCAGAGCCTCTGTTTTATCATCCTTCTTTGCCTCGCCGAGCATGGTGTCGGCTTTGTACTTTTTCTGGACTGGGTCGTGTGCAAGGCAGCAGAAGAGCGCAAATAGGCCTGTCTCTACGCAGTTGCTGAAGGTTTCCTCCAGAAACTCGGTTTGGCCTCTCTTGCAGGCATGCACGCTTGTGTACGCCGGCAGCATGCTTGGGATGGCGAACGGGAACGACTGTAGAATCTTCATTCTTTCTTGAATCTGCACAAGCGGGCGCAGAAGCTTGCCTTCCTCAGCCTTTGCCTTGCTCTCCACAAAGCACGCGTTGTATGCGTCTTTGCAGCTGTCTTCTGGCAGACTTTTGAGGATGCTGTGCACGCACGCTGCGAAGTCCAGGGCGTCGTCCTTGCTCGTGATGTACTCAAATATGTACGCCTGGATGAGGAACTGCGGCGTGTTTAGAAACTCTCCGGTGCTGAAGGCCTCTAGCGTGTCCGGCAGTTTTCCTTTGCCCTTGCTGGCTTTGAAGAAGTTTATGACCTGGGCAGCCTTTTTGCACAAGTCTTTTTTTGTTTTAAGCACTGTGCTGCTTTCCTCTGCCACAGTTTTTCTGTGCTCTGGCGGCAAGTTGCCAAGAATGCTTGTTCCCAGTGTGATCTTTTTCTGTGTGGCCTTGATGGGCACGTCGACGCCCTCGCTCAGCAGGAGGAGCGCGGCCAGCACGTAGTGCGCGTGCTGTTTGGTGGGCATCCCCTGCAGAAACTGGAAGAAGGAGTCATCTCGGTCGACAGCCACAGACAGAGTGCGCCCGTCTGTCGACGGAAGCATCTCGATGAGCGCGCGGTGGTACTCCTCGGCGTAGTTTTTGCCAGCAGGCTTGGAGCTCAGAGCGGGCCCCTCTGCAGGCGGATAGGGTTTGTCCTTCTGCGCGTTTCTTGTGTATTTGTGCTTCCATGTGGTTTCAGTATCCCCAACGGGCTCCACTTTGTACTCAGTTTCTATCTCGGGCGAAAAGAAGCGCTTGTTGTGCATGTAGCCCAGCTCGGAGTACACGAGCCCGCGCAGCAGGCAGAGCGGTCCCCTCGGGTTGATGAAGGCGCGGCTCTCTCCTATTTCAGTGCTTTGCATCTCTATGGCCTCGCCCAACGATATTCTTGCATGTGTGCAGTGCATCAGCGCTGCAAGTACAAGTGCATAAAATTTTGCGTTCATGATCAGGGGCAAAAAACCGGTTTTTATATACGTTGTGTTGTATGCTAAAAGCATAGTTACTCGTGATTGGTTATTGTTTAGACAGGCCTAATTGAAAGGCCAACACAATTTGGACATTATCTGACAAATTAAACACCCGTGTATTTAAGCAGGTCGAAAAATAATAAACACCAATTTTTCACATGACTACTTCCTGTATTACAACTAGTAACAACAACAGGGCAAAGAATGCAAATTTACCAAAGATTTATTACGCAGGCGAAAGAAAGGCGAGTGCGAAGAGTGCGTTGAGAGCTAAGAATGCAGATGACGAAGACGAGGAATCGCCACCAGAGCTAACAATTGAGGAAGACGAAAGGGAAGATTTCCCACCAGGCGACGATGAGCAGCTGGAATATCTAGAGAAGGTCATAGATCGTTTAGCAGACCAATGTGATTACGAAAGACCCGTGGCGGAGGTTCTGGAAACCCTAGAACTAATCCTCAGTACGAAAGTCCGGGGCCGAAAGCTGCCTCCGAGCATAAGAACGTACTGTCTAGCACTTGGCATCACCAGCACCAAGTATCCTATGCTGCAGATGGCGAAGCGAACACTGGTGGCGCTGAGTAAGCGACTGTTTGCGGAAGAGTCAAGAAACCAAGGAAGAGGATGGACACAAGTAAAATCCGAAATAAGCCGTGTGTTTCAAGAAGCACGAAGCTTCAAGAAATACCAATTTCCCCGAAGACCGGAACACGCAGCCGGGTGGGAAGTTTGGTTGGGCAAAGTCGGCCTAGACATATGGAGAGAGTTAACCTCAATCACTGAGCTAGAGTCCGCCATTATGGCAGCACCCGAGCAATATCCCTGGGGATGGGACGAAATAGACTTCGGCCAGACCCCAAAGGTAATTATAGACCAATTATGTAAGCTCACAGAGAAGTACATCAAGATGGTCGCTCGGGATAGAAAGCCCGAAGCAAAGGCCCTCAACAATAACAAGTCCAAATCCAGTCGATCCACAGTAGTATGCACCAAGTGCAAGAGAAAAGACCATTCTCAAGAGACGTGCTACGCCAAGACGCGAGACACGTCCGACAAAGATTGACAAAAGGATTCCTCTGCAGGCAAGGTCCAACAAGTGAAAGAGCCGACTTGGGAAATATTAGTCCGTATGGGAACCACAGACGTGACTGGTCTTATAGACACAGGCGCATGCGTCACAATACTGAGTAAGCATGTGTATACACAGTTAAAGCAAGAAGCTAGCATACTAAAAGAAATACGATCTTCGAAGAGATTCGTAGCCGCGGGACGTGGGAACACGATTCAGTCCTATAGGGAAATTTTAGTAGATGTGACTTGTGGAGGGGTTCATTTAGGTACCCATACATGTTTTGTACTGCCCAGCGATGAGACCGACATTCTGCTAGGAGGGAGTCTTGCCCGGAAGATCCTAGAGAGTGGGCTGGCAGACATGAAGTATCCAGAGAAGGTACAATATACAGTAGGAACAGAAAGGAAAGAGCAAGTATCATCGTCGAAAAATATAGACTACGTTACAGCGCGTAGCTATCCTGTACATCAGAGTACCCAGAGAATGACAGGTTTTAGAGACTCCGAAAGTGCACAAGAAAATTCGAGAGCAAATGTCCCCGCGGACCATTTACATACGAGAAAAATAACAGACTACCCGCCACAAGCACACAAAGACTCACACCTACCTACAGAAGAGATGCTTGCCATGGCAGAAAAGAAAGTACGCGAACTTATAAAAGAGGGATTTGTAGTAGAGACCACGGGCAGCAAATGGCTGATACCCATCCACCTAGTCAAGAAGACAAACGGAACATGGCGATTCTGTCTCGGCCTTAGGAGACTGAACCTACTAACAACACAGGATAACTATCCCCTTCCGAAAATAGCAACTATCACTGACGACTTACGCGACATGAAATACTTTACGAAACTAGACATTAAAGATGGATTCTTCAGAGTGCCACTGGTAGAAGAAACACAGCACAAGACAACATTTAAGCTAGGCAAGACGTGCTACAAATTTAGAAAGAAGAAAAATAAAGTGAACAAAATATGTGTGTCTGTACGGATTGGAAGGGAAAAAACTAGAATGAAGAATTTATTTTTTGGAGTGTTATGGTGGTGTAGTATAGTAGAAAAGAGAAGGAAGGCAGAAGTAGAGAGATAAAGCGAGAGAAGACAGGAAAGGACAGTTTAGCGCAGGGAGGTGTGTTCTTACGTTTGGAGGCTCTGTAGAGTGTGGGAGGGTTGCTGGTGCGCGTATGCGTGTTTTTTTCTCTTGACTAAGTACAGAGAGGCAGAGAGTGAGGCTTGTTTTTATTTTTGTGTGCGGGGAAAGGGAGAAGGAGCACACACGCGCAGGAGAAGGGAAAACAGAAGGCACACAATGGTGTTATAAATAGAGCAGGCGTGTGTGGGTGGACCAGACAGCATTTTCGGGCGCGGCAGATCACACAGCAAGTCTTGTTGGGGAAGAGGGCAAGGAGTGGGCGGTAGAGGCATTGGAAGAGAGGCTGGAAACAGAGAAAGCAAAGGGCGGATTAGAGAAGTGCAGAGACGGGCTGGCTTGTGAGTCCGGGCATTTAATCATGTGCAGAGTGTGCGTGCATATTGCATGCTAGTATAAATTATATAAATGTGGCGAATTCTCTGAATTCTCACTCCAATCGGAGACGGCAAGATCATGGCAAACTTATTTTTGATATAGATGCGTAAGAACTGAAAACAGTAGTGATCGCTTATAAGCATAGCTACGAGAGCAATTTCAAAAAAGACGCACAGAAATTCGAAGAGCATAAAAACAAGTCAATCTAAAGCCGACCGCCGGGGTTCTCCAAAGGTTAGCACATCTTTACTGGAACTGGATCTAGACCAGGCTCAGGTCTGCCCCGTATTTATGACAAAAAAACAAACTACGCATGCCTGCATTTTGTTTTTGTTGCCAGCAGGCGCAGAGCCCAAAGCGCGCAGCTCTTTTCTAGCTCTAAGAAGCGCCTTTTGCCCGCTTGGGAGTTTGGCAGCTTTTTTATTTTTTCCATGATCAGCTGATTTCTGGGCAGCATTTAAACGAAAAAACAATTTTACCAAAGATGAGATTGCTATTTAGTTTTCTATGTGTGCTGCTTGCGGCAGGTCAGGCGGCAAGATGCAGAGACATGGCTTACAATGAGATGCTGGCGTGCCTGAGCAAGGCTGTGGGCCGCGTGTGTGGGGAAGACGTGTATGTGAGCCCGGAGTGGGTGGGGCACCCGGTGTGTGTGTCCAGGCTTGTCTGGCTGAAATACGTGTATAACATGCGGGCGTACTCGTGCGGGCTGGACACGAGCTCCAGCCTGGTGCCGAGCGGGCGAGTGGTCAAATACAGAAGAGGAGAGATGTACACGTACACGCGAGAGCCGGAGAAGGACAGGGCACACCAACCCGAGGACATTGCCAGCGCTGTAGCACTTGCAGGAGACGGAGAATACAGCGTGGCGTTCCACCGCGCGCTGGTGCATATGTTCGGGCTGCAGAGAGTTGGCGGGCCAATATACGATCGCCTGGCGGTTGAAACTGGGCGCCCATGCTCTTTCACGCAGTTTCTCCGGGAGAGATGCAGAACGCAAAAAGAGGCACACTACGTGCTGGCTGCGCTGGTCCTGCTGAGCGAGGGCGTGGACGTGCCGATTGAGACAGCTGGGAACAAAGTAATTGTAAAAAAAAGAAAAGACAGCAATGACGTGCTGGTGAACGCGTGCGTGCCAGCTGTGGACAGTGGAGAAAGACAGCCATCCGAGACGTGGCAGGTGGTGAACTTCTTCAAGCGGTACAGAGGCACATACATACTGCCAGGCACATACGGAGAGTTTAAAACGGGAGACTTTCTGGAGAGCCCGCAGCTTCTGATTCTCACGTACATCGGCGAGTACGTGGAAAACGCCGAGGAGCTCATTTCTGTGATGGAGTGCATATTTAACCTTCTGGAGGGCATGGGACTGGCAGAAAGCGTGGGAGACGCGGGCAGCGTGGTCGGGCGGATGTTTGTGCGTGCGAGCCGGCTGCCCGAGGCCCAGGCGCATCTCGCGCCGTTTCTAGAGACATTTCCTGCTCTTGTCTCCATGGAGCACTTGGATGAGTTTGAATGTTTTCAAAGAAAAGCCAGATATGAGACCAAATTTGTCAGAGCCTCATACGAGGAGAAGGAGAGCTTTGGCAATTATGATATGAACTGCGGGTTTCTTGGAGCGTGTCTGCTATTGCCGTGCCTGGCATACGACCCGGAGAAGAACGCGTACAGCCTGGAGGGCCTGCTGGCCGGGGCCGAAAACACGGAGGAGGTGGCCAAAACCAGGGCGTTTTTTGAGGCGGTGCAGGAGAGCATAGAAGAGGGTTTTTCTTTGGGCCGGCTGAAGAAGGGACATGCGCAAAAACGAAGAGACCTGTGGCTCATGGTGCATAGGCAGTTCATGGAGGCGCTGGGGAGTTTGGAGCCGACGGTTCTAAACCAGATGCGCGTGCTTGCGCAGATGACCGGGCGGCCGCAGGCCGTGGTGGACGAGCTGGCAGCGCACCAGGCAGCCATGGATGCGAAAAGAAGCACAGAGTTGAAGCCTAAGGCGATTGAGTGCGTTCGGGCGCTGCTGCACTCAATAGCGGTAAACAAAGGTGTGAAGGTGTGGGTTAGAGAGGACTTCGGTTTCTTTAGAGAGGAACAATACAGGATTACAATAACTCATGTGCCCGAATACACCGACAGATGCGAAATGACGGTGGTGTTCACACAAGAAAAGACTTGGATGACAGATTTAAAACTGCCATACCGAACTCTTTCTACCAGAGAGGAGAATATGTTGGTCGAGGCGGTCGTGCAGTACAGGAAGGAAGCGCGAGTTTCGGGCTTTGTGCTTGCGGAGTGCATGCACCGAATGGCGGCCTCCAAGAACACTTTTAACCTTGCAGACACAACAGTTGAAGATGTGCATGAAGCTGCGCGGTGGGCAGTTGAGTGCAGCCCGGCCAGGCCGACCGGCGTGCTGATGGTGCTGCCAGCTATGAGCAATTGCTTCAGGGAGGTCCTTGTCTCTGCGCTGGTGCTGTATGCCGAGCAGAAGAAGATTGTGCTGACGCTGGCACATCCGGTGGGCCGACTGATTGCGAACGTGATAGGGGGCATTGACCTTAGCGACCCGATAGACCGACGTTATATCCTGAAAGTGCCTGTAGTCGCCAGCACTCTGCAGGTGCTGTGCCCAGCGCTGCAGATGCCCGAAAAGTCGCGATGGGAGCTTTGGAACTCATACATGGTTGATATTCATTTCGTGCCGTATCCCGTCGAAAATGCCGATTTGCTTACACGGGAAAACCTTATGTGGTGTCTTCGAGCGTACGCAGAGAAACAAAACGAGCCGCTGTTCAGGTGTAAGCTGCTGCATAAACATGCGAATATAGCAAAGCATAGCAAGTATCTGTTTGCGGTGGATCCGGTGGCATCCCTAGAAGAGGTATGTGCGCTTGTTCTAGCGGATAACGCGGGAGAGGATCTGGTGACGGCCAAGGCCCTGGCCAATGCGCTGCAGCTGTCCTGGCTGGCGCTTCTTTTGGGGAGGGGCCTGCAGAGGCAGAAGGGTGCAATTGTCGAGATTTACAAGACTGTTAAGCCAGGGCATCTTGAAAAAGAGCTTGAACAGCTTTGCGATTTTTGGCTTGGCGTAAATCTAGAATATATACTAGGCAGCCTGGATAGAGCAAGGGATGTTCTTGTGAGGGAAGGCGGTTACGCAAAGTTTGAAGCGCTGTATGAACTCTACCGGCAAGTATGCATTAGATCCCGGGGTTGACTCGAAAGCATTGGCTGAAGCTTTTCCCTTGTCTGCTTTCGGGCTGCGCAGTGCCCAAGCGGCGAAGCCGCCGGTGTGGTGTGGGTGCTGCCAGCCATTCGTTTTACGCCAAAAAAGTGTATTATGCACTTCGTGCTGTTCTTTGGCCGACTCCCCATGGAAAATAAAGCAGAAAAAACATGTGCGTTTTGGAGCAGGCAGCTGCCAAGTTTATTTAGTGGGCGCGGGAGAAGAAGGCCGCAGGAAGCTGCCGGGTTTTCAACGGGTGGCAGAGCTGTGCTGCTGTTCCAAGCTGGCGGCGGATTCGGCCTTAATATTAATAGAAGGGGATTTGTCTAAAAAGTTGAAGAGGAAAAGCCGAAAACAGTGGTTGAAGAACGGGAACGCACAGACGATGGAACAGGGTGACAGTGGTGGAACGGAAGAACAGGTTGAACAAGAAAGGGCAGGGCAGGACGCGGAGAAAGGAATCGAGAGAGTGGGTCAAGGGGACAGCATAAAGGACCAAAGAAAAAACCCGAAACGAAGAAGTTCGAGAGGAGCTGAACGACACGAAGCTGATTGAAGAATAAGAAGTTGACAAAGAGAGTGGAGAGGAAGTTGAAGTGGGTAAGGGACGGAGACAAAGCAATCGAGGAAATTGAGAGAAGATGTCCAGGAATGACGGCAGAGTTGGGAGAAATGGAAGGAAAAAACAAATTCGTAGAAGGCGTGGAATGCAAAACCGAAGCAGAGCCAGGAACGATGGTGAGAGCGCAAGCAAGAGAAGGGCCAGAGGCAATGAGAAAGCCGGTGCTAGAATACCTAGATCGGCTGGAAAGGGCGGGCGTGGTTAGGGGGGGTGAGTCAAGGTGGAGAAGTCCAACAAAGTTTGTACCCAAGCCGGATGGGAGGATGGGACCAGCCAGTCAAATGATGGCGTTGAACGGCCTAATGGAAAAGGGGCACGTACACACTGCTGAAAACGAAGAGGATACTGCAGAGAGTGGAAGGGTTGGCGTGGTTTACGTTGATAGACTTGGGAGACGGATACTGGCAAACACAGGCACGGGGAGAAGACAGGCACAAGACGGCGTTCC